ATTTGGCCAAGAATCCCAAATTCATCCAAAATATGAAAATTTGTTCAAAAATCATCTCAAATTGTTTGAAAATACCCAAGTTGCCCAAATCCACCCCAAAATTCCAAAAATACCAAAATACCCCCCCAAAATTGCCAAAATTTCAAAAATACCCCTTACACCCCAAACTTTACCAAAACATTTAAATGTTAATTGAGCTCAAAGTCCTGTCTAGGCTACCCCAGACCCAAGTTCTAGCCATTTTGACCCAAATTTAAGCCATACACAAAAATTGACTTAGCCGTGCCTAAGACCCCAAATTAATGACACCACAACCACCAAGTGCACCCTATGGACAAAGCTAAACTCACCTATACAATCCAAAATGAGCTATGGACTAATGGTCCCTTGATTTAAGGGATTTCACCTCATATTTGGCCTAAACTCAGATGTCTCTTTTGTCATTCCTTACTCTTGGTGGTTAACCATCATTAAGCACCCCCTGACCTCCCTGAGCCAAGAAATGACTGAACCCTGGCCATCCACCACCTCAGCCGCCAGAAACAGCCAACTCCAAGCCCTAAGCTCCCCCAGACAGCCATGGCTTTAACTGGAGCTCTCCATAGCCAAAAAGAAAGTTCTTGGAACCTTAAGGAAACTTTGTCAAAACCTCACCAGAGCTTCTCCAAACCATCCCAAGTGCAATCCCCTTGCTCTCAGCCATTGATAGCTACCCCTTTGAGCCAATTTCTCCACTGAAATTTGCCCCAAAACCAGGATAGAACTCTCCACAACTCCACAGTGCACAAAAATTCAATTAATTGTGCACACACCATCCCCACGGTGAGAGAAGTTGATTCTCCATAAAAGCCCCCTCTGAAATAGCCCTTAGCGTAGACTTTTATCAACACCTGAAATCGAGCTTGGTAAAAATCATGCCTAGACAATTCACCAAGGCTTGACACTTCATTTGGAGGTTTGTTGAGTCCAATCAAAGCTACCAAAAACATCTGTTTGAGGCCTTTCCTCTCTGACAAAGGTATTGAACTCTAACTGGAAATTGATACATATTTATTGTATTTCATACCATATAAACCATATATATGTTTTTTTCATAAGTAGATTAAGGTTTAGAAACAAACCTCATGTGATTTTTTTGAGTCTAGGACAAGATCTTAAGGTTTTAGTGTGAACGACTCATGGGTTAGGTCACTTGGGGACGATAACAGAGAGTCGTCTGATCGCACGTGTATTCTACGAACGGAGGAGATCAAGCCAGAAAATCTGTGGTGCATAAAGCGCAATCTGCATGGAGGCTATGTGGCTGAGAACATCAATGATAGAGCGACGCATGGAGCCTTCAAAGCAGACGAGGATGAGTTGGCGCCACATGGATAAGTAGAAAAAGTGGGATGTTTGAATTATTTTAAATGCCTAAACTTCAAAAATTCATATATTTCTATAGAAAAATCATTAAAAAAATTACTCTCTTGCTCAGTGAACAGAGGAAAATAATGTGCACTAAAAATAAAAATTATTTTCTCACTCTCTGGATTTTAATGAATTAAAAATCCCCTCTGGTATTTTAATTCTCTATGACATAAACCATTTTACCATGGCTTGAAATTTTGAGGGTTTCTTTCTCATGACAGAGGCCATGTCTTTTGATTTTTCGAAGGTCAGAGGGCATCTCTATGCTTCTAACCCTAATTTTCAAACTAAGGTGACCATATTAGCTTATTTTAATTATACAAATCAAAATATTACTTAAAAAATTATGAGAACAATTTTACTCGGTTTCTTATGGTCATAGAAATCTAGGAAAAATACTGTGATCCTTTTTATCATTTTGTGAATTTTTATTCTTAGTTAAATGTAAATACCTTGTATTAATTTGTGTAAATTAAATACATATCAAAAAATAACAAAATCAACTCCATGTTGTTTTAAAAACTCATATCTACCCACTCTAAAAATTTGAAATTTTTTTGGCTTGATTTAAGCACTAAATTGAATTTCTTAAGGAAACCATGCCTTTTTGTATAAAAATAATTATATTAAATCAAATATGCTTAGAAAAATTATGAAAAGGGCTTTTCTGAGTTCTTTATGATCAGAGGCACTTAGGAAAAATAAAAAGTATTTTTGGAAAAATACTTAATTTTTTAGCCATATTTTGGATTTAAAATAATTAAGAATAATTAAAATCTTAAAAAATATACAAATGTTTAAAAATGTGCCTAATTGTCCTCTGATCACTTGGGACTCAATAAGATATTTTTCCTAATTTTTTTCAAAGTTAAAAATAAATTTTAAAAGCTTAAAAATAAATTTTTCATATTTTCTCACTAAAATAGTTATAATAAATAAAGTAAAAACTACAAAAATATAAAATTTGATTCTCTTAATTTTTTGAAATCAGAGGAGTTTAATAAAAATATAAAATGATTTTTTGTAATTAAAAAACTAATAAAAATATTTTTTTGTAATTTAAAACACTACCTTCTAAATTTAAATAATTAAATCAAAATTTTGAGAGGTCCACATATCCTCCTCTAACATTTTAATTACCTCATGGATATAAAACATTAAACCCTCAGAATCATTTGAGTTTTGTTTAAAGATTTATGAGGTGAAGTGCCCCAAGGGCGAAGTTGTAATTTTAAGACTTTGGTGCCTTAATCAAAAATTCAGGATTATTAAAGGGAAAATGAATAATTTTGATCTTAATAAGCATGTTCAGATGATTAGAATACAATGGAGTTAAAAGGTAGAAACCCATTCAACACTCTTACAGAACATCAACTAAAAGCATAATTCTTATAATCTTCATGACTTGGAAGTCAATTAATGATCAAATGATTCTTAAGTGATGGGCTTAAGCCAGGAAGATGATAATTTACTCTTCTTAGGCACGAAGTTGAAGATGATCTGATCATTTAATAAGGATATATGACACTTCAAATCAAAACTTTGAAAACCACCATTTCACTCACTATGATTGTTAAGTGATTAGTAGTGACCTAGGATCAATTTCTAAACTCATTTAGTTGGATTTAGAAAATGATATGCTTTGTGATCAACATTTTTCAAACACTACAAGCCTGACTTTAACTCCGGGAACCACAATATTAATCAACTCAAACTTGCCTTCGGGACACTCACTCACATAACTCTTAAATGAAACATCAATTGATTAATCGAGTATCCTATCCTCGGGTTAATTAAATTGTTAAGTTTCACAGAGCAAGGAGACTAGACTCCTATTTCATTAAAAAAATGACATTTTGAAATCTATTGAATATTCTGAAGGGCCACTTGAACTTGTCACATTTTGTTCTAAAATAATCCACTAGGATCTTCCAAGACTCAACAAAATCATAATGTGGGATTTGGTAGCTAAACCATCATTTGCTCATGCAATTTAAATTCCTTGCAACATTACATACCTGCCTTGCAAGTTCTGACCTTTCGGTGGTGGAACGAGAAGACTCGCCAGGTACGCTTTTATATTTTACAATACTATTTTCTATTTTACTTTCTGCACTATACTTTCTTGCTCATAAAACTTGCATGTTAAATAATGATGACACCTTGCATGAAAACTAGAACTTCTAGGATAACCACCAAACCAAAATCAAAACTAAAATCAACCAAGATAAAATTCACCGCTACATCATCCAAAATATAAGATAACTCAAAATTTAATCACAAACATCACAAAATTACAATTGGAACTAAATTAAGATGTCTCTATCGAATGATCAGGAATCCCTCAGAGGAGGTAACTCATAGTTTCTAACGAGATTTCTCACACTCTAAGTGAAAAATCCCTCATAGGAGGTAGCCTACAGTTGTTAACGAGGCTTCCCTTTGTCTAAATGAAAGTATGGAACTCATTAAGTTGGGTTTAGTAAATTCATTTAGACTAACTTAATCCGATAGAAAAATAGTGGTACAGGAACAATGAAACTGTAGGATCCTAATCGATGTCACTCTAATCAACATTAATATGCCTTAATAATATTTAAAGAACTTTAACCATAGGAACATTTGATTTGACATCATAACCTGACACACTAGAAAACTTAAACTCGTCATGGCGAGGAGCTTGGAGCTAGCATAGTGGCTAGCATAGTGGGCAGCACAACCATATTCAACAAGAAAAGAAATATTTCCCAGCTAAACCATTCACTCCTTAGAATTAAACAACAAATAATAGGAGTTTGAGGTTGTTTGTTGAGGTTGTTTGCCTAGCGCAACATAATTCTTCAACTCATCATTAGGCATTTGTACAGCTCTGTTGTACAATCTAAGCCCTAACTCGTCTTAGCATTCTGAGGTTGTCGTTCGTCGCGACCTAAATCCTCACATCTTTCAGGCTATTTTTGTGATCATTTCACACAAATGTAAGCCTTAAATAAATAAAATTTGCAGGATGAAACACTCAAATAATTTCTCCTCAAAACTAAAGCCAAACAATATGATAGACTGGGAAGTCACCGAGATTCTCCTTTGGATCTGTGACATCCCCTAGTTCTTCCTCTTTTGGATTCTACAATAAATGTTCCAAAATTGAACCATTCCTCTTTCACACCTCTTTGTCCGATCATGTTAAAAAGTTCTATCCTTTTGAACTCCTTGGAGTTTTTTTTAGGTGACTTCATTCATTTAAGATGTAATTAACTATATGGGCTTGCCCTTATAGGAAGCTTGTCTAAACCCAGCTTAATATAAATCCTATTTATATCTTCATATTAAATAGATGAACTTGTCGGCAAATAAAATGGTTTCGCATACCAAATGGATGTCGTAAGTTTCTTAATTTATTTGATTGAGCCTCATCCTTGAGTCTTGATGATTCCATGGGGCTGGTGGGCGATGAGTGGAGGTTTTGTGGAGGGCTTTGGAGTTCCTCTTCAGGATGGTATATCTTTAGGAGGCGAGTTCTGTGGATTTGTCCCTTCCCAGGTTCTGAGTTTTTCAAAAATCAATGTTCTATTGGGAGCTGAAGTTATCCCATGGCAACACCTATTGACCTTGATACAAATGTACAATGGAGAAGAGCCACCTATGTTGGCGTGGTTGGCAGAACAAAGGAAGCTCTTCAGGATCCTAAACATCTAGTTTTCCCACAAGTATTTCATGACACCTTGGTTGGTAAAGGTTGTGCCTCATGCATTCACCCGAGTGGATTAAAGGAGGGTGAGCCTGCTATCTTTTTCTTTGTACAAGATATTCCTGAGATGAAAACAAAAGTAAGGTTCACTCTTATTCGAAAGTTCATGCTAGGGCACCCCAAAATGGAGTTGATGAGGAACTTCTTTGAATCTCTGCAATTTATTGGGTCTTGGCAACTAGGCTTATTGGATGGAAGACATCTCCTCATTCAATTGACAATGGAAGAGGATTATGCAAGATTGTTTGCAAAACAATCAGTAATGATAGTTGGCTCATCAATGAAGATTTTAAAATGGACTCCAGATTTTGACCATAGCAAGGATCCACCTGTGGTTCCTATATGGTTTAAATTTCTAGGCCTCCCTTTACACCAATTTAAGTTAAATGCTTTATTTAACATAAGTAGTGTTATTGGCATGCCCTTAAAGGTGGACACTCCAACCTACAACAAGGTCAGACCAGCTCTTGCTAGAATCTTCATTGAAAGGGACATCACCCTCCCTGAGATGAAGAGAATCTAGATAGGAATTGGGTCAAATGGCTTTTGGCAAGAAGTAGTAATTGAACAAAGGCCATATTACTACAAACATTACAAAATGTTTAGACATACAATGGACAAATGCTATTGGTTACGTCCTCCCCCAAGAAGGAACCCCAATAATACTCACCAAGTTCATTCCAATGGAATAGCTAAGAAAACTCCAACTCCTCCTAATTTGCAGCCTATGGAACAAGCTCTGTTGAATACTGTTAGGATGGAGACTTCTCCTTGTGCCCAACAATAGTATACATCCCCCATGAGGATCCATCCTATTTTGGTGGAGGGGGAAAAGTCCGCAAATCATCTTTTAAATGTAAAGAAGGATAAAATGATCACTTGCAATACTGGTAAGGGCATTTTCCCTCAGAAAAATAGTGAGGAAACTAAACTAAAAACAAGCAGTGAATACTTCATAACCTCAGCAAAGGGGATGGAAGAGAAGAGCCAATCACTGGAAGAAGCATGGCTCATTCAGAAAGCTAAAAAGAATAAGAAAACTAAATTGGATGACATGAAGGCAAAGGAAGATCTCTCCCTAATATCAGGCAACCCTCTAAAAAATTAGAAGTCCACTACTCACAAGACAAGCGGGAGAACCAGATCTAGATCTCAACCCTCCTTGCATCCACCCCCCCCCCCCCCCCACATGATTAATCTCCTATGTTGGAACATAAGGGGGATAACTCACCCCCATTCTATAAAAAAATTGAAGTCTCTAAATAGAAAACATAAACTATGGTGTTTTGTAATTTTAGAATCTTTGCTTCATCATAATCCTAGTAAATTTCTCAAATATTTCCCTGGATGTGTCATTTTCAGTAACCTGAATAACAAGATTTGGATTTCTAGAAGAGCTGAGGTAAATTGTGTGTTTTTGAGGGACCACTCCCAATTCCTACATTTCTCCTTCAACTTGGCTGGCCAAAAAGGCTTAGCTACTACAATTTAGGAAGGGTGTAGAAAGACAGCTAGGGAGGAGCTGTGGAAAGAACTAAACTTGATTCAGAATCATCAGGATGAGCCTTAGATTGTGGGAGGGGATTTCAACTACATGTCAACTTTTGTTGAAAAAAGTGGTGGCAGACCCCCCAACTTGGCTACTATGAGCACATTCAATGATAATATTAACAATGCATGCCCTTTTTATCTTAGATATAGTGGGCCTGACTTCACTTGGAGGAGAGGAAGATTATGGGAAAGACTGGACAGATTTCTGGTTAATGACAAGTGGTTTCAACTCTTTTTGCATACCATAGTGACACATCTCAGCTTGGCATGCTTTGAACATATACCTTTGCTTATTTCTATTACTGCTAACCAACAACATGTCAAGGCCCCCTTCTGATATCTGAATTTATGGTCTTCTCACAAATATTATCTAAAAATAGTCAAGGATCATTGGAAGGAGTATGAACATTCTAACCCTTTAGTGAAACTCTAGGGCTTACAGAAAAAACTAGCAAGGCCTTGAAGAATTAGAACTGGAATACTTTTGGCAACATATAGAATAAGGTGGAGCAGGCTGAGCAGGACTTAAGGGCTACTGATATTGCTGCTATGCAAAGAACAACTTATGAGGCCACCCTGATGGAAGCAAATGAAAATTTACACACTGGCCATATCCTGACAGGAGAAATTCTTTAAACAGAAAGCTGCAAAAAAATAAATTCATGGAGGGGGACAGGAACTCCAAGTTCTTCCATGCCTCTATTACGTATAAAATAAAGTGTAACATGATCCACTAGATTAAAGATATTACGGGTAATACAATCAAGGAGGATGTTGGTATTGCTGAGAATGCAGTGCAGTACTATCAGCAACTAATGACCTGCACGTCCAACAGTAGGGGGCTTTTTGACACTGGTATGTTCACCTATGACCATCAATATACATCTAACATAAACCTTGTAGAAACCCCAAGTGAAGAGAAGATCAGATAGGCCATTCACTTCATTGATAGTTCCAAGGCAGCAGGACCTGATGGGTTCACTTTTGATTTCCACAAAAAATCCTGGGAGGTCATAAGGGATGATGTGGTGTCTGCCATTCAGGGATTTTTTTTAGGGACTTGAGCTACCTAACTATTTTAGTGTGGCAAATATAGTCTTAATTCCAAAAGATAATATAAAAGACCATTGGCATCACTTTAGAACCATTAGCCAGACCAATGTCATCAGCAAGATCATTAGCAAGATTATTCTATATAGAATTTAACCTCACCTTCAACAACTAATTAGCCTTAAGCAAGCTACCTTTGCCAAGGGTAGGTATATTGGAGATAATGTCTTACTAACCCAAGAGCTACTACAGGACCTTGACAGGCCTTGTAGGGGGGTAATATGATCTACAAGCTGGACCTTAAGAAGGCCTATGACATGATAAACTGGGATTTTATACTAGAAATGCTAAAGGAAAGGGGATTTTCCAAGGACTTTTCACAGATAATCAAAAGATGGTTAGAAGGAAATAGAAACTTAGTACTGATTATTTTAAAAGCCAATGGGTTCTTCCAAGCTACCGGAGGTTTAAAACAAAGACATCTGTTGTCACCAACCATCTTCATTCTAGCACTAGATTTTTTCTCAAGGCTAATTGACATTCCAAATAAAAGGAAAAACTATAATCAATATTAGCATAGGTCAACATTGGACATAAGCCATCTGTTATATGCTGATGACATAGTGATTTTCTTAAGGGCCAACAAAGCTGCTGCTAAAACTATTTATGGTTGCCTGAAGGAATTTCATAACATTTCAGGGCTAGAATTTAGTAAAGAGAAAAGCCAAGTACTCTTCAGCTAGCAAGTTCCCTCACACATCAAGCAATGGATCACAAATCTCACAAGTTTCTCTCCAATGTCCTTCCCATTAAAATACTTGGGTGTGCAAATGCTCAAAGAAAGAACTAAGCAATCTCAGTTTGATTAAGTTGTGGCTAAAACTAATACCCAATTACAATGTTGGACCAATTCTTTCTTATCAAATGGCGAGAGAATCACTCTATTGAAGAGCATCCTTAAAACCTTCCCATTCTACATTCTACAGATGGCTACAATCAAGAGAAGTACCCAACTCTTACTTGAAAGGAGCTTTAACAAATTTCTTTGGGCAGGTCAGAGAAAGCAAATGATATGGGCTAGATGGCAAAAAGTTGCAAAACCTTTTGTAGCAGGTGGACTGGGGTTCAGAGGCTTGATGTAGCTTTAGCATATAAACTTGTGCAGATTATGGAATAGATTCAGACAGCAACATACTTTATGGGCAAAGTTTCTATTAGCCAAATACTGTAGATTCAATCATCCTAATATGGTTACCAAAAGGATGGGGCACTCTAAAACCTAGGAAAATATGCTCAAGGCCAGAAAGGATGTTGAAACTCGGTTCTTATGGGATTTGGGACATGGCAATATTCACTTTTGGTAGAACAGATGGTGCCCCTCATAAATTCTAGAACAACTAACTGAGAATTTTGAGTTGAACTTAAAGGTGCGGGAGTGTTGGGAGGGGAGCAACTGGTCTTTGGACAAGCTAAGGTCCTTCCTAAATGATCTTTCTGCACAACAAGTGTCCATAATTTCCTTTGATAGAAGTAAACAAGACAATATGGCATTAAATGTCACTTCTAACTGGAGCCTAACCAAAGCAATCTACAACGGACTGTATATTTGGGCTGAGGTACCCTGTGGTGAAAATTTGTGGAGCAAATTTCTCTCACCTTCCATTTCCTTTTTCAGCTGGAGATGCTTCAAAAATCTAATTTCTACAGATGATACTCTAAAGCGAAAGGGTTTGACAGGCCCTTCAATCTGATGTCTTTGCAAAAAGGCTGAAGAGTCAACTAGACATCTGTTCTTGGATTGCAAATTCTCTCAAGGGATCTGGAAATCAGTATTAACCAAGATGAAGATTAACAAAATAAATCTGGATTGGTATAACTTATTCACTTGCTGGAAGGGATGGAATGACAGTAAGATGGGATCCATTCCCTTCATAGTTTCTTGGTTTATTTGGGTAGCTAGAAACCATACAAAATATGAAGATCAACAGGCTAGCACCATTAAGGTAGCCAATAACTGCATGGCTTACATCAGGAAACTCATTAAATGGAAGAATTTTCCAGATATCATGAATTTGATAGGAACTGTTAGTCCTCTCAGATATACTTTGAAGTAGGTTTTATGGAAGAAGCACACTTACCCTTTCCTCAAAATAAATATTGAAGGCAACTTCAATCCTAAAAGAGCTGACATTAGGGGTGTGTTCAGAGACCGTAACGGTAATTGTGTGCTCTAGTACCAATCACCAATAAACGTAGCAGATGCTATGGAGGCTGAAATAATGGCAATGTATTGGGCTCTGAAGCTTACAAAAATGAATCAATGGAAGTGGATACAGGTGGAGGCTGACTCATCCCAGCTCCTGAAGTACATGTCAGGAAAGAACAACCCCCCTGGAAAATTATCTAGTGGATCAAACAGATGAGACAAATTATTAAGGATATGTATCTGAAGTTTAATTTTACATATAGGGAGGGCAACAAACCAGCCATCTACTTAACTAGAAGGGGAGCTGAGTCCCAAAGGGTCACTGTGACTACAACACCTTCATTTTTACTGACTTTTTTACTTCAGAGGAACCTTTTTGATGGCCCTCATCTTAGGCTAGTTAACTCTTTTTGAACTGAATGTTGTATATATATATATATATACTTATACAATGAAGCTGGCGGCTGAAGTAATAGGTGCTCTGCTAGGGTTTTTGGCAAGATGAAGTGTTGTTGGAGTGATTTTTGTGGAAGGTCTAGCCACTTTCTTCTCAAGGGAGTTGGTTCCTTATTTCTCTTTTACCTTGGGAGTTTGCTTTTACCTCTCTTTTTTCTAAGGCTTTTGGTGGGTATTACTGTTCCATTGGAGTTTTCTGGGTTTTGGCCTTCTTCCTCTATTCTACTGGTTTCTTCTGGTTTTACCCAGCTTTCTCTAGC